TAAGCCAAAAGAAATGAACATCCATCCAAAAGGTTCTTTTCCTCCTTCAGAGAAAGAGCTATCTCAATAATGGATGCATTCCAGATGATTTCAACTCTGCAAATAAGGTCATATAAGGGGATAACATGGTGTCTACCTTATTATATTGAACAACACTATACCTTTTGATAAAAATGAAGTTGTGAAGTATGACTTAAACAATAAATCAACAGATAATGTGCTAACTTTGCAGCAATCCACCACATAGATCAATTAGATTGAACCTGATCAAATTAAATAAATGCTATCGGAAGAAAAAGGAATGTTGCATTGTACAAGTACAATATGCATAACAAAGCACTTGAGTGATAGAATGAAAAACTTGCACCACAGAAACCCATTGCCTTGCAATCGAAAAAACTATAATGTCCCTTGATTTACTAGAAGGCCACTACTGCAGTAGAACAACTTCAGTCAAGTATAGGAAAGAAACCTAAGTCCATGACTACAGTAGAATTTGTTTCATATAATTCAACAACATATAATAAAGCAGTAGAATTTGTCTTCACCATTTTTTTTGTTGGTAAGTAAATTATTGTCTTCTTGAGAACATCTCAACCTTATTTTCTTATTTGATTGAAAGTAAACAAACAATGACTCAACTAGAATTTATTTTTGCATTTAATCTATAAGAAAAACAATTCCAATGACTGGATTAAAAAAAAAAATTCAGTCCAAGATTGAGTAGAAGTTGTAAAACAGAAAGGATGTGAGAAAGAGAAATCATAAAACATAGGGGACTAGAGACAGAGGCTGACCATGGTTGCCGAGAGTCTAAGATTTAGGATCTTCTGGCTCTGTTGGAGTTGGTAAGGGCGGGGGTGTGGTGGTCGGGGTCGGCTTAGTGAACTCCATGATGAAATTGGCTATAGCTTGCCCTTTGATTGCTGTCCGAGGTCGGTAAGAGATGTCAAACTGGCTGAGTTCTACTGACCACTGCATCAGTCTACCTGAGAGTTTTGGTTGCTGCATGACCTTCTTCAGGGGCTGGTCGGTGAGGACCACTATGGAGTGGGCTTGGAAGTATGGGCGGAGTCGTCTAGAGGCAATGACCAAGGCCAGGGATAGTTTTTCCAGCAAGGGGTAGTTCTGCTCCGCGCCCCTGAGAGCTCGGCTAATGTAATAGACCGGTCGTTGGACTGAGCCATCTTCTCGGAGGAGAGCCGCACTGACTGCGGTTTCTGATACTGCTAGGTAGAGAAAGAGAGGCTCACCCGTGATTGCTTGAGAGAGAAGGAGGGGGTTAGCTATGCATTGCTTTAACTGTTGGAAGGCCTCTTCGGACTCAGTTGTCCATTCAAAGGTCTGCCGAAGGACTTTGAAGAAGGGCAAGCACTTATCTGTCGCGCGGGAGATGAAGCGGTTAAGGGCCGCCACTCGGCCGGTGAGCCTCTGAACTTCTTTGACCGTCCGAGGCGACTGCATCTCAACCAAGGCTTTGATCTTCTCAGGGTCAGCTTCAATGCCGCACTGGCTGACCATAAAGCCCAAAAATTTGCCAGATCTTACGCCGAAGGCGCACTTCTCTGGGTTGAGCTTCATCTGGTACTTGCGCAAGGTGGCGAAGGTTTCTCGTAAATCAGTAAGGTGATCGGAGGAGTATTTGCTTTTGACTAGCATGTCGTCGACGTTGACTTCCATATTCCGGCCTATTTGGTGATGAAAAACGGTGTTAACCAGCCGCTGATAAGTGGCCCCAGCATTCTTCAATCCGAACGGCATTACACGGTAGTGGTAGGTACCTCGGTCGGTAATAAATGATGTGTGCTACTGGTCAGATGTGTGCATTAGGATTTGGTTGTACCCAGAGAAGGCATCCATGAAGCTGAACATTTGATGACTGGCGGTGGCGTCGACCAGCAGATCTATGCGAGGAAGGGGGTAGCTGTCTTTGGGACAAGCTCGGTTCAAGTCAGAGTAGTCGACACAGAGCCGCCATTTGCCATTGTGTTTTCAGACGAGGACCACATTGGACAACCACCTAGGATAGTCCACATTTTTGATGAATTGGACTTCGAGGAGTTTGTTAACTTCGGCGGCTATAAGGGTGTTGCGCTCCGGATGAAAAATGCGTTGCTTCTGGCGGTGGGGTCGAAAATGGGGTTCGATGCTGAGGCGATGGGTTATGAAGGAAGGGTCGATGCCTGGCATGTCAAAATGAGGCCAGGCGAATACATCTCTGTGCTCGGTTAAGAGAGCAGTAAGGTCGGCCTTGGCTTGAGCAGGTAATTGACTGCCGATTTTGGCGGTTCTGATTGGGTTGGTGGGATCGATGTTGACTTCAACAAGTTCCTCTACAGGTTCACCTCTGACCAGCTCGTCCTCGTCTCGGACGTCAAGCCCTTCGATGATCATGGCCTCTTTTAGCTTGACTTCTTTGAGCGAGGCGACATAACACTCCCTGGCCACGGTTTGTTCGCCTTTGACAGTTCCGACGCCGAGATCGGTGGAAAATTTCATGGCCAGATGGTATGTGGAAGTGATGGCTTGGAAGGCATTTAGGGCTGTGCAGCCGAGGATAATGTTGTAAGCGGAGGGGCAGTCGACCACGAGGAAGGTGAGCAGCTTAGTGGTCTGCCGCGGGTGCTCGCCGATGGTGATAGGCAGATCGATGGAGGCGATGGAGGTCACTCGGTCGCCGGTGAAGCCGACCAGAGGGGTTTGGAGAGGGGACAAGCTCTCTTCCCCAATCTTGAGTTGGCGGAAGCAATTGAGGAAGATGATGTCTGAGGAGCTGCCGTTGTCTATGAGGACTCGTCTGACTTTGTAGTTGGAGAGGATGGCGGATATGACAAGGGGGTCATCATGTGGGTAACGGACTCCTGCACAGTCGGTATCGGTGAAGGTGATGGGTTCGATCCATTGTTTTGACTGTTTGGGAGGTCGGTCCACCGTCGCCACTACTTTGTCTGAGCCTTGCCTGATTTTTCTGAGTTCTGCCTTCTGAGCCGAACGGGATGGCCCCCCACAAGCAAGGACCCCCGAAATGACTCTGATTTCTCCGACTGGTGGAGGGGGATTGCCCGGAGGCCGAGGCTGTGGTGGGGGGCGATCGTGGCCTTCGTTTGGTGGGGCTTGATTGCGGGGTGGTGTGCGTCGGCGATTATTCCTGGGATGGTCAGTTCTTTGTCTCTGTGGGGGACGGGGGTCTGTGAATCGGCTGAGGCGGCCCTGGCGGATGAAGGTCTCGATCTGGTCTTTGAGGTTAATGCACTCGTCAGTGGTATGGCCATGGTCTTGGTGGAAGCGGCAGTATTTGGACTGATCTTTCCGGGTGGAAGGGTTTCGGGACGGTAGGGGCCATTTGAGGGGGTAGTCCCGCTGGATCTGATTGAGGACGTGCTCCATGGGGGAGTTGAGAGGGGTGTACCGCTCGGAGTCGACCGGTCAGTTCGGGGGGGGCGGTCATTATAGTGGGATGTTTGGCTATTATACTGGGCGGTTCTGGGCTCGGAGTCTTTCCTCTTTTCTCTGGAAGTCGGATTTTTAGGAGTCGGCTCTTGCCGAGCGGCCAGGGAATCTTCAGCATTCATGTATTTCTGGGCTTTGGACAGTAGAGCTGCCATGGTGGTTGGAGGGTTTTTGGAGAGGGAGAAAAGGAAATCAGACGACCGCAGGCCGGCCATAAAGGCGGTGAGGATGACCTTGTCGTCATTCTCCGCTACTTGAAGGGCTTCGGTGTTGAAGCGGGTGACAAAGCTGCGGAGCGACTCCCCCTCGGTCTGACGAATGTTAAGGAGCTGGGTGGCTGGGCGCCTCTGACGCTAGGCTCCAATAAAATGGCTCAGGAAGGAGTCACTGAGGTGTTGA